TCCCTGCCCATCCTGAGCTGTCCAGGGTCCTGCTGCTCTTTCAGCCAGTCAAGGACACATATCTCTCTTCTTCAGGTTTAGGCAACAACCGACTACTGCTCTGTTCTGCAGCTCCTTTTATATAGTTCTGCTGGACTCTATTATTGACTGCTTCCCCACTCTAGGCCACTTGGAGGACTTTTCTTTTGCTCCTTTCTAGGCTGGGCTCTGGCTGGACCAGGTGGCCTCTGAGGAGAGTTGGAAGTATTTCAAAGGGACGTTGTTAAGGGCCCAAAAGCAAACAATTCCACTGTGTAGGAAAGATAGAAAATATGGCAAAAGACCAGCTTGGCTTAACAAGGAGATCTTGCATGATCTCAAAATAAAAAAGGAGTCATATAAAAAATGGAAACTAGGACAACTAACAAAGGATGAATATAGGCAAGCAACACGGGAATGCAGGGGCAAGATTAGAAAGGCAAAGGCACAAAATGAGATCAAACTAGCTACAGGCATAAAGGGAAACAAGAAGACCTTTTATAAATACATTAAAAGCAAGAGGAAGACCAAGGACAGGGTAGGCCCACTGCTCAGTGAGGAGGGAGAAGCAGTAACAGGAAACTTGGAAATGGCAGAGATGCTCAATGACTTCTTTGTTTCAGTCTGCACCGAGAAGTCTGATGAAGAAATGCCGAACAGTGAATGCTAGTGGGAAGGGGGTAGGTTTAGAAGATAAAATAAAAAAATAAGTTAAAAATCACCTAGAAAAGTTAGATGTCTGCAAGTCACCAGGTCCTGATTAAATGCATCCTAGAATACTCCAGGAGCTGATAGAGGTGGTATCTGAGCCTTTAGAACAACCCAGGAAATTATAGACCGGTCAGTTTAACGTCTGTCCCAGGGAAGATAATGGAGCAGGTAATTAAGGAAATCATATGCAAACACTTGGAAGGTAATAAAGTGATAGGGAATAGCCAGCATGGGTTTGTGAAGAACAAGTCATGCCAAACTAATCTGATAGCTTTCTTTGATAGGATAACGAGCCTTGTGGATAAGGGAGAAGCGGTGGATGTCATATACCTAGACTTTAGTAAGGCATTTGATACGGTCTCGCATGATATTCTTATTGATAAACTAGGCAAATATAACTTAGATAGGGCCACGATAAGGTGGGTGCATAATTGGCTGGATAACCGTAGTCAGAGAGTTGTTGTTAACGGTTCTAAATCCTGCTGGAAAGGGATAACAAGTGGAGTTCCTCAAGGGTCTGTTTTGGGACCCGTACTGTTCAATATCTTCATCAATGATGTAGATATTGGGATAGAGAGTACTCTTATTAAGTTTGCAGATGATACCAAACTGGGTGGGGTTGCAACTTCTTTGGAGGATAGGGACATAATTCAAAATGACCTTAGCAAGTTAGAGAAATGGTCAGAGGTAAACAGGATGAGGTTTAATAAGGAGAAATGCAGAGTGCTCCACTTAGGAAGGAACAATCAGTTCCATACATACAAGATGGGAAGCGACTGTCTAGGAAGGAGCATGGCGGAAAGGGATCTAGGGGTCATAGTGGACCACAAGTTGAATATGAGTCAACAGTGTGATGCTGTTGCAAAAAAAGCAAATATGATTCTAGGTTGTATCAACAGGTGTGTTGTAAGCAAAACTCGTGAAGTCATTCTGCCGCTCTACTCTGCACTAGTTAGGCCTCAGCTGGAGTACTGTGTCCAGTTCTGGGTGCCACATTTCAAGAAAGATGTGGAGAAATTGGAAAGGGTACAGAGAAGAGCGACAAGAATGATTAAAGGTCTAGAGAGCATGACCTATGAAGCCAGGCTTCATGAACTGGGCTTGTTTAGTTTGGAAAAACGAAGATTAAGGGGGGACATGATAGTGGTTTTCAAATATCTAAAAGGGTGTCACAAGGAGGAAGGCGAAAATTTGTTCCTCTTGGTTTCTGAGGACAGGACAAGGAGTAATGGGCTTAAAGTGCAGCAGGGGAGGTTTAGATTGGACATTAGGAAAACATTCCTAACTGTCAGGGTGGTCAAATATTGGAATAAATTGCCAAGGGAGGTGGTGGAATCTCCCTCTCTGGAGATATTTAAGAATAGGTTAGATAGACATCTGTCAGGGATGGTGTAGACGGAGCTTGGTCCTGCCTTGAGGGCGGGGGGCTGGACTCGATGACCTCTCGAGGTCCCTTCCAGTCCTATTATTCTATGATTCTATGGTGTTGGATAAAGGAGAGAAGTACTGGAGATGTTCTACTACATTAGCATACAAGCAGTAGGATACTGTTCTACCATTCTCTGGAGTGCCATGGGTGGGACTCACGTAATTGCAGGTGCTGGCACACTAGAGTTCTAGTTTGTACTGTCTGCCAGTTTGGGACTGATTAGACTCTCTGACCCTCTCTAGACATATGCAATGGTAGATCCCCACTTGAGTAGCTCACAGTAGTACACAGGATTGTACCCAAGTAAAAACAATGAGTAGTCCTGTGGCACCTTAGAGACTAACAAATCTATCTATCTATATATATATATATTGTATCGTGAGCTTTCATGGGCAAAATCCACTTCTTCAGATCAACTTGACTCCAGTTCATCTGAAGAAGTGGGTTTTGCCCACGAAAACTCATGATATCTATCTATCTATCTATCTATCTATCTATCTATCTATCTATCTATCTATCTATCTATCTATCTATCTATCTATCTATCTATCTATCTATCTATCTATCTATCTATCTATCTATCTATCTATCTATCTATCTATCTATCTATCTATCTATCTATCTATCTATCTATCTATCTATCTATCTATCTATCTATCTATCTATCTATCTATCTATCTATCTATCTATCTATCTATCTATCTATCTATCTATCTATCTATCTATCTATCTATCTATCTATCTATCTATCTATCTATCTATCTATCTATCTATCTATCTATCTATCTATCTATCTATCTATCTATCTATCTATCTATCTATCTATCTATCTATCTATCTATCTATCTATCTATCTATCTATCTATCTATCTATCTATCTATCTATCTATCTATCTATCTATCTATCTATCTATCTATCTATCTATCTATCTATCTATCTATCTATCTATCTATCTATCTATCTATCTATCTATCTATCTATCTATCTATCTATCTATTAGTCTCTAAGGTGCCACAGGTAAGTACCCATGTAGTTTCACATTGTATTGTCCATGACAAAGTCAGGTTGTACGTTGTCATCTATGATTATTTAATACAGTCCTAAGTACACTGCCAGCACTTAGAAGATAACAAACAATAATAATTAGTAAACATTTCTAATAAAAAAATTATCCCGATATTTTTGGGAAAGGGATAATTAGGTATTTGAGTAGTCAACTAGTCAACTACTTGCATTTGCCTATCAGAGGCAGCAGTGGGGGGGAGGTAGGGGAGGCTGCCGTGAAGCAGCCTTTACCTATGGCAGGTCCAGGCTTACTGAGGGCAGAGGCTGCTCCAGCAGTAGCCCCTGTCTGTTGGGGGTCCCAGATCCCTGCTGGGACTCTGGAAGATGGGAGCTGCTGGACCTGGTACGAGCTGGGACTGAGCAAGCCCTGCTCAGTCCCAGCTTGTGCAGGGTCCAGACCTACCCCCGCTGAGGTTCTGCAGTTTAAATGTAGTAGGAGCTGCCTGCCCACCTGGCGCTTATTATATTTAAACTACAGAGCCACAGTGAGGGTAGCTCCAGGAACCTGGCGCAAGCCACGAGTGAACACCTTTCCCTATCGACTAATCATGTAGTCAATAAAAATTATATGGACTACATGATTAGCTAAATATCCACTTCGTAACATCCCTAGGGAAAATTCAAAGTACCAGGACAATTCAGTAAAAGGGACTCGTCTGTTAATTGCTGTGTGAGTTATTACTGAGTGAAAAATGACTACTTCCTTTGCTGGTACTCAATCCCCACACTCCTTGTTCTATCTCATTATAAAGCAAGTTAGGATAACTTAAGAAGTTATGCGTAAAACTAAATTATACTTCAGACTTTATGCTCATTGCCTCAGAATTAACCTGTACCATATGCATGCTATGCTTTGCAAGCAAGGTAAAAGTAAGTAAGTAAAAATGTGCTTGAAATAATAAATTCTTTAAAATAAATAAGGATTTCTACATTTCATAATTATGCTGTTAAATCAAATGATGAAGTTTAAATTAGCTTTTATCTGTTATAAATTAAAGTGTTTGTACAGCCTATCTCATGCTGCCACCTGCTGTTCATTATGTTAGGCCTGATTTTGCTAATGCAATCCATTGGAAACATGCAGGGATTTTGCCTTTTGTTCCCCTTAGTTTAAATTAGTGGTGTATCCAGTTTTAGAATAAGATTCTGCTTTCAACAAGTTTGAAAGCTAGGCTGAGTATTACATGCTCATGATCTTGGGTTCTCACATGAACAATAAAACTAATCCATCTTGATTCTAGTCCAGTTTTACCATCAGCTCCAAACATCACTACTATTCCCACTTCATATTAAACGGGACTCAACAAATTATAATGGATTATCTGAAGATGGAAAATAATCTTTAAATAATAATAAAATAATGTAACAGATAAAAATGCTTTGAATTCTGTAAAGTTTTCCATCCAAAGTACTTTACAAACACAAATGGAGTATACATGATACTGCTTCTGAAGAAGGTATTATCATTTCATTTTGCTGGTGGGGAAGTTAAGGCAAAATAAAGTTATATGACTCAGCCAGGGCCACATAAAACGTCAGTGACGAAGCCAGGAACTGAACTGCCTTCTGAGTCCCAGAAATGTGCTCCAACTACTAGAAAATGCTATTCCTTAATGAACATGCATACAAGATAGAAAGGAATAAAACATAATTCAGTTCACAATGTTAATGCACTTGAAGTGAAATTTACATTAAATGTATTATGGTTATTTAATATATTTTAAATCTCTCTAATATTAAACATCATTTTACTGGTCTTTGTTTTATTTGATTTACCTGTAGAACTTTCTCACTTTGTTAAACGGTAAGCAACTAAGGCACTGCTTGTAGATCTTGTTCTCATCTGTCTGTAGTTCCAAACCACATTTTGCACACCCTGAATAGATGATCATAGGAAGAGAAGCCAAAATGCATTCTAATGAAGTGTCAGCATCAAAGATGAATTGCCTGTACTGGGGAGCAGTAATGGTAAACTTCAACTCTAAGACACGAGCTTTCAGTTGACTCACTCCTACAAAAACAAAGGAGTAGATAAAATTTTGTGCCATCTTAGAATTTTATAATATTATCACATAAAGTAGTAGGAAGAAAATATAGCTCAACTGAGTCAAAACATTATATATAATTAGCGTAACAATAGCCTGAGATTTACTTTATCTATTTGAAGCTGCATATTGACTTTCTTTTCAAAGAACCATTTCCTCAGTGATTAAATCATTATGATAAAGAAAAATAAAACTGAAAGTAACAGCCAATGTGCTTTGATATTTCAGTGATAGATGCCAATATTAAAAAAATGACAAACTTGGAGCTCAGATAAGCAATACAAAGAATAGCTCAGAAGTTCTCCGATAACAGTACCAGAGACTGTTCAAACATTTTTCATATATAAGGGAGTCTTGGTAAATACACATGAAAATATAAAACTTTCTTTGGCAAGTAAAAAACAGACAACAGGAAAACAAGATGCTATCATACACCAAAAGTTCATAGCATCAAAGAACAATCTGATGGAGGGGAGCAGCAGCAGGAGGAATATTTGTTTTGCCCTTGCCCTCCACGAGGTCTAATTCTGTGTATACCACAGGGCACGTCTAGACTACGTTCCTCTTTCGAAAGAGGAATGTAAATGTGGCAAATCAAAAGCGCAAATGAAGCGCGGATTTAAATATCCCACGCTTCATTTGCATATTTGCGTCCAAGCGCTTTTTCAAAAAAGGGTTTTTTGAAAGTGAAAGTGAAGTCTAGATGGGGTTCTTTCGGGGGAAAAAAAAACCCTTTTTTGAAAGAACCCGTACTCATTTTTTTTTGAAAGAACCCCATCTAGACTGCACTTTCACTTTCGAAAAAACCTTTTTCGAAAAAGCACTCGGACGTGAATATGCAAATGAAGCGTGGGATATTTAAATCCGTGCTTCATTTGCACTTTTGATTTGCCTCATTTACATTCCTCTTTCGAAAGAGGAATGAGGTCTAGACTTGCCCCCATTGACCGAATGCCTGAAGTTCAGAGGAACCCAGGAGCATGAATTGTGCAGCAGGAACATTCAGAAAATAAAGGATAAATGTTAAACAAATCCTACTGTGTATGTGTAAATGGTGATTTTCCACACCTCATAACTTAACCATACCAGGGTAGATTCTCATGGGCACAGCAAGAGAGACTTTTTCAACCTCAGGACTATACGCCTGCCAAATTTTAAGTCAGTGAGCCAAACTTTGAAATCATCAGATATGTTCAAAATGTGATTACAAAAATATACTAGCAAAATTACTTATTTTTCTTTATTTCAGTTTCAAAAAACGGCTGCATTGTTAAAACTGATCAGAATTATAAACAATGGGAAACAGCTGGCTACTGATGTGGATAAAACAATACTGAATCAGTGCCTTGTCCATCCTGTGCGCTGAACCAGAGAGGGGTCCTGTGGAAAACAGTATGTAGCAAAATAATCAAGCACTATGCCATAAGGCATATAAAGATGCACCAGAAACTATAATTCATTCACTACCTATCTTCTGAACACTTGAGTTTGCATCCTCAATCATTTTATTTCGTCACAGGTTTGTTGAATGGCTATCTGCAGAGACAGGTGTCCATTCTATGCTCGGAGATAAAGTATCTATTTGTTCTGTTCCAGGAGGTTTATATACTTTTAAAGTGAAAAAGAACCACAGTGTATATTAACTTCCACAAAACCTCATCCAGTAGGTCCTGCACCTACCCCAGTAATTTTTAGTTGAACTGGAGCATACCTTTTAGACAGATTTAAATCTTGATTTGAAGACTTCATGTGATTGAGAATTTATCGCTTTTCTTGGTAAGCTGTTCCAATAGTTAATTATCTTCACAATTAAAAATGTTAGGGTGGAGAATAGGTGGCAACACATTCAATCCAAGCTGTTTTTATTTTGCTCCCCTTCACAGGTCATCTCTATGCCTTCTGAATGAAGGCTGCAGTCACACTGTGACTGAAATACTGAGCAACTGTTACCAAGACACAAATGTCAGGCCTACAGGCCTACCAGTTTGTGACTGGTTTTAATGAAAACACCCTTAACTGTCATCAACATAGTCAGCTTTCCTGGTTAGCATTGTGTATCTCACTTGAATAGACAGTCAATGAACCTCACCTGAACATTTTTCCTCTAGGTGTGCTGCCAGATTTGTCATTTTCATGAGGGGCTTTTCACATTTTTGATACTTCTCTTTAAATTCAACTGCCCTTTTGTCATCATCAAACAAACACTCACAGAATGACCATGGAGTTGTGTGCAGTTCAATGTCACCTGAAATAGAACTACGTTTGGCAAGTAGGTATTTAAATTCCCATATATGATCTGAAAAATAAAGCAAAGAACAAATAACAACCCTAGAAACTAAGTTAACTTCCATACTACAGTTAATACTTGTAGAAAGCTGCAAACAGCAAAAGTATCATTTCACTTTGGCAGCAGGGAAGTTAAGGAAAATGAAGTTACATGACGCCTCTTAGGCCACACAAAAAGTCAGTGGCAAAGGTATAACAAGGGTATAAAAAAGAGGCAAGGTATGTCTACATTAAGGGTACGTCTAGACTACATGCCTCTGTCGCCAGAGGCATGTAGATTAGGCTACCAGACATAGTAAAATGAAGCAGCGCTTTAAATAATCCAGGTCCCTTCCAGTCCTATTATTCTATGATTCTATGATTCTATGATTCATTTAAATTTACATGGCTGCCGCGCTGAGCCGACAAACAGCTGATCAGCTGTTTGTCGGCTCAGCG